TAGTACGTGCAGGGTCCAGGGTTCTCTCCCCAACATCATAAAACAACCCAAATGATAAAAATGTCACCCAATTCACCCACAAAGCACTCAACCCTTGCTATTGGAAGCGCCACCCCAGACCTCCAGTGTGTACGTTGTGTGACTCATGCCCTTTTCTCGATTCTCCCTTCAGTTGTGGCTGTTTACTTAAAAGACTCCTGGTGGTCCATTGAAGACGTCCTAAGAACTTCTGATCCCACAAGGGAAGGGCTCATGAAGGTGAGGGCTTGTGATGTTAAATGAACATTTGCAAAACAGGTTTTTGAGGTCTTTTTATGGGGACCTGTGTTAAGAAATTAAGTCTGATTACCAGGCGTTTTTAAATCAGGGAGCCACTTCTTAATCTGCCTGAAGAACAGGTTCCTCTGTGTCCACATTGTCTCTCTCCGTGTATTCGTTCCGTGGGCTGCCCTATGGGCACCAAGTCTGGACTCTGAAGGCTAGAGGTCTGAGGTCAAGGGGGACGTCTTTTGTGTACTGGGGGAATCTGTTGGCTCTGTCCCCACTTCAGATTGCTCTAGCAATTCCTTGGCCTGAAGATGGCCATGTTCATGTGTCTCCTCATCACCTTCTTCGGAAGCATTGTCAGCCTGTGTTGAGAGTCCCCCCCTTTTGCTAAGGACATCCTTTGTGTTGGAGTTTGGGAGCATAATGTACCATCACGGCCCAATCACCTATAAAAACTCATTCCAAACAAGTTCTCATTCACGGGTTCTGGCAGGGCTTGCAGCATCTTTTGACGGGCATCCTGCTAGCATCTTTTTGTTAGCATCCTGCCAGCAAGGGAAAGAGGAACATGTGACTGTTCACCAGACACCTGACTACTGTCCAGTCTGCTTTACCATCTCCAGTGTCTCTTAGGCTTCAGTTTGTAAACTTGAATCTGTCCCATTTCTCTGCCGTGCTGAGAAGTTTTTCTGTCGAATATAATTAGGTCACGGTTATTATTGATGGACGATTTAGAACCGAATTGGTCTGCCTGCATATTTATTACCCCAACTTCTTTATGGGGCTGGTCTAATTTCAGAATCTTCGAGCTCTTTGTTGTGTGTCCTTGGCGGCATGGGCTTGAGTTACACGGCCAGTGAGGGATTTGGTGTAGACTTCGGTGTCTTTAATGTCAGGCTTGTGGTGTTGGTAAGCGGTCGAGCGGTCGTAAAGTAGGGGCCTGGGATGGGGATGGTGAAGGCGGCAGCAGCGAGCGGCTTCTCAGAGTGTGAGAGAATCGCTGGACTTCAGCTGGTGCGGGTTAAGGAGGGAGACAGTGATCAGCCGAGAGAGACGACTGTGCCTCAGAGCTGCCTGCTCATCTGGCTGCCGGGTTTATTTTAATTCTGTAGGTGAGAGGAAGATAGCGTTTCTGTATCATCCCGAAAGGGTGTGTCTTTCCACGACTGTCTAGAAAACCGCTTGCTTCTTTCTGTGGGGTGCGGTAGGTGCCGGATGAAATGTCAACAGTTGTTCACACTCAGTTTGGAGAATGAGTTTATAATGGAGTTTCTTTTACTGAACAATTCAAACACTGAGTCCTAGGGCTGAGCAGATGGCTCCCTGAGTAAGAGCCCTGTTCTGCAAGTGTTAGGACCCGAGTTGGAATCCCCAGCACCCATTCAGAAAGGCAGGCATGGCTGAGTGTACTTTGCCTGTGAGGGGGGGAGACAGGGGGACCCTGAGAGCTCCCTTCCGCTTCAGTGGGACTGTCCCAAGGCAGTAAGGGTGACAGAGGAAGACACTCAAGGCTTGCCGTGGCCTCTGTATGAGCTCCCACATTCCACACGCAAGTACATGCATCATACAAATGCACCAAACACACACAGGCTGACAATCGAAAACTAAGTCCTGTTTAAAGCAAGTTTCATTGACATGTACTTTGCATGCCAAAAATTTGCTCTAAAAATGTACAATTCCGTGATGTTTAATAGACTTAAACCCACCCCTCCACAGCAATTTCATTTTCCTAACTCTGTTTTTGCTGACGGACAGCCCGGCATACGGATAGACTACATTTTATTACCCATCCGTCAGCTGATGGACATTGAAGGGGGCCCACGTCCTAGCTGTCATGAGTCCTTTTGGGTGACTGTTGATGAGGACGTGGACTCTGAATTTTCTTGTGTACATGCCTAGAAGCATAACTGCTGTCACACGGGGTCTCTCTCATATGTTGAGGACCTGCAATGCTGTCCTCCACAGTTCCTGCACCAGCTGACTTTCCCCCAACTGTGGTGGTTTGAATGGGAAGTGTCCTTCCCATAGGCACGGATATTGGGACACTTGGTCCACAGTTAGTTGTGCCATCTGGGGAGTTATGGAACCTTTAGGAAATGGAGCCTTGCTGGAGGGAATATGTTCCGCGCTTGGTCTCGCCTGCAAGAACCACGCGGGACACAGGATTCTTCTGCAGAAATAGCTTCAATGCCCCTTGGGAGAGCGAGCATCAGCCAACATGGCCGGGGACCGAGAGATCAAGGAACCCATCCCTTATATACGAAACAGACCCTGCTTCGGACGTGTCACTCTTGGATTGGTCCGCTGCTCCCAGTCCTAGGTGATGCCTCGGGAGTAGGCGGGGACGCAGTAGTGGAAAGTTACCAACACCTGTGCGCTTTCTTGCTCACCTGGCGGTGCAGCGCCATCTTATGGTGGAGAGTGTGGTTGCAGCCCCCCACAGGAATAGATCACTGGGGGTGGGCTTTGAGGTTATAGAGTCTTGCCCTACGTCCTATATATTCTCTCTCTCTCTCTCTCTCTCTCTCTCTCTCTCTCTCTCTCT